CAAGCTTGCGGTCCAAAGGCTTTTTGTCCTTTGTCCAAGTGATGTTTGCCTTGCCAGCCACTGGACAGGCCAAAGTCACGGTATTTCCAGACAATGTGTGTTGCAGTGGCTTTAGTTCCTTTCTAAACACGGGCGGACCCTCTCCGACGGTTGCATTCGCATTATCCACCTCCTCATCGTTGTCCTCTCCAGTGGATGCAGTGGGTGCTGGGGTGCTCGGAGTGGTGCTAGTGGTCCCTCGATCCGTTGTGGTGTCCAAAGGGCTGTACAAATTCAAGTAGGCGGCCGCCACAGTGCGTCCAACTTGGTTCTCGGCTATGCAGATGTACCAGCCTCCATCCTCCATAAGGACATTTCCCAAACGAAGAACCTGGGGTTCGTCCATTCGGGTTATCAAGCGGGTAACACCCACCGGTAGCTGGGACTGCTCTCTAAGCCGCTGTAGGACAAAGTCAATGTTGTCCACTCCCTCCTTATGCAGCCACGTGATCTTCGGCTCCAAGGCAGAGTCCTCCAGGAGACACTCTATGCTTACATTGTCCTCAAGGGGAACACTAGCATTGCGGGGATATCCCGGTTTCAGCACGGGTACAGTGTGACTCCGGCTTACCACCTCCAACTGGGTGGGATTGCTCTTGTGGCAGTCCTGCTCCACACACAGCTCACAGTAATAGCTTCCGGCATCGTCCGGCTGCAGTTGCCCCACAGTCAGTGACCACCTCTTGAGCTTTATCCTTCCACGGCCGCCCAGGATTTGCCTGTCATTGTGCAGCCAGGTTATATTCACACCCGTCGCCTCAGGATCTGTAGGGCTGCAGCTCAGCTGGAAGAGACCACCCGCCGTTCGTTGGACGGTTTCGGGGAGTGGTTGCAACAACTTTAGGGATCGGCTTTCATTCAGGGGCTGAAAGAAGAGATCCGTCTCCGGGATTGGTCGTGCAGCATCCACCTTAGCAAAGCTGGCTATGTCATTGTCGACTGGTTCTTTATGACCAACGAGCAGGGTGATATTATACCATCTCTGGCCATCCAGGCAGCCGTAGTTTCCGGAATTCTCAGACTGGGCTCTGTCAAGTCTATAAACAGCCGCCTTAAGTTGAAACTTATCCTGGTAGTACCACTTGGCCATGGGACGCAGGCATTCCAACGTGATGTCCATGTCGGGGAGGAGATGCTGCTGACGGGGACTGTTTTCCGCAGTCACATCGATGGAGCAACGGTGATAGCCAAAGTCGCATCCCAGGTCCGGAGAAGCAGAGGCGAGCGCAATGATCATCAGCGTGATCGGCACTTTTGCCATGGTTCAAGTGGATTCTCTTGAGTTCAACAGCCACCAAGAGATCGTATCTAGATGGGCACGAACATGTATCGATATACAGTTGGGGTCAGAATAATATCACTTCTTCATTCGAATAGCTCGGTTTTAATTTTAGTGTTCCTCAGCTGTAAAAAAAAAAAATAAAAAATAATGTTATAAAAATAAAGGCTCCGGAATGCAACAAAAAAGATAATAACTAAAATTTAAAAATATATTCTCTATTCATTTTTTTGTGGGTTTAATATATTACTCATAAATATTATGACTAAGCCTAAATTTTATGAAATATTGGCATGTGACTGTCTTCAATGGGATTTGGAACACTCATCATAGATTATCGCAGATTATAAGCAGTTTCAGAACCTTTCTTAAGCTCAGTCCGGAAGAATATATATTAGAAAGATAAATTTCTTAAGATAATAAGAGATAATTTTGGTGTTGATACCATGAACTCTGAGCTCTAGGCTGCTAAACTTTAGGGGGATGGTTAATAAATCATTTTTCGTGTTTTGAAAGTACTGCTTCTTTTTTGACCGCAACTGTATGTGGATCAATAAACATTGCCAAATCTTCGGTTAACTTGTTCATTCCCCCGTGGTCGCCCCCTTTCGATTGCCTTTTTGTGTCATTTTATTTATTTATTATTATTGTTTAATATTTTATTGCCAACACGGCACACAGCCAAGTCAAGACTGTCCGCACCAATATGCAAAAATCCAAAGGAGAAGCAGCAGAAAAAAACGAAGACTGTGTGCCCTGCCTCCGTAATGAGCTCGAAGACGTGGTCGAAGCCGCTGGATTGCCGGACACACTCGTCGCCACCCACTCCCAAAGGGGATCTCCATTATAACTTGTCTATATTCGACATTCGCCAAATGCTGCGGTTGTTGGTGCGGCATGCGCTTCTCGATTTCCATTCAACAAAAAGCCAAACAGTTAGAAAATCACTTGAAATCACTCTGTACAGTGGGCTCGACACTTTTCAGTTATTTTAAAGTACTTGCATTTACAAAGCAAACAGCCGAGGTGCTAAAGAATTGCAATAGCAAATCGGGAAATACCCAAATGACGCTACACACTTGGAAAAATCAACTAAGAAAACTTTTAAATGCTCTATAATACTATTCATGGGTTTAACAATTTTCTTAGAAAACATCTTGTTCTAAATAAAACTAGTAAAGGTGAGTTCCTATTATTAATATATAAGTATAAAATTAAATTATGAAGAATTTTAATCATAATCGGGAAAGGGCATGTACTTCGCCTAATTAAAGTTCTCAAATGTTTTCTTAGTAAACTAAGATTTATTTCAGGTTAATGATGTCTAGCAATGATTTGCAGGTGTTAAGGGTAAATCCCCAGACATATTGACAATGTGAATGCAAGTTTTTCAGAACTAACTAAACTCAGACACAATTTTTAGCACACCTTAAATATCGAACCAACTGAACAAAGGTCTAATGAAAATATCTAATTTGCTTTTATTTTTAAAGATTAGTATTATTTTTAAATTATAAAAAAAATGTGTTATAACTTCCAAGCCACTGTGCCGTTAACGAAATGTACTTTATTGTCTGTAAGGCTTGGGACAACCGTTGTGATTGTCATTGTTGTTGTTAATATTGTGCTAGTGCTACCAGTAATTGTTGGTTTTGTTATAGCCGATATTGCCGCTAGCCGTTTGACTTCAGGCCCGATTTATGTATGTATGCACACGCGTCGCAGGTTTTAATTTATTCAATTCCTTTTTTTTCCCATTTGTTGCCAAATACGAGTCGATCGCTGTATTTGAAGTATGTATTATTGCTTTTCTTATTTAATTTTTTACTCAGTTTGTCAGTCATTCAATATTATTCGATTCGAAGCCAACGCGCGCACATGGCCAAAAACGTTTGGCTCACACCTTTTTATCTTGTGAATTATTATCGAGCGAATGAATCTTTTTTAGCATACTCGATTTGACATTTCAACTTGGTTGCTTAGCTATTTCGAGGACAGAATTAATTGAAATTTCGCATATTATTATTAGTTAATTTTCTTTTTGCAAACACTTATATGTCAAACGATTGCTAGGGTTCATCAGCTTAAGAACCAACCAATTATTAATTATTCAGTTGGAAATCACATTAATATTTTTGTTTCCTGTTTTGTCAAAGGGGTTTTTTTTCTTAAATTAACGAAGCAATTCAATGAATTTCTTCTCTTATAATATTTTACTTTTATTATTTGATGATTATTGTATTATTTTATTTATTTCCTTTGTCTTCACTTAAGATCTTATATTCAACATTTGTTTTTTTTTTGGTTTTTTATTTCTCTGTTGATTTTGAACTTTTGCGTGCACTTGACATGCTTTGTATTTATTTTACTTCTGGAACATTTCTCTTTTAAATTATTTTTGTTCGACTTTATTTTTGTTTTACTGCTGCTTGTCAGTTCCAGTGGGAATACAATTCTTTGCTGCCAAGCCACAACCCCGAAATCTTTAACCAAAAAATCACGTTCTTTGTCTTTTATTTGCGAGGAGCCGGGGCAAATCAAATGAGACCACAAAAAAATATTGTCACCATGTTTATTCGCCTGTCAATCGCGGAGAGGGCTTGGATAAAGATCTTAAATCTGGAAGTAGAGGGCAAGGCGCCTTGCATTTCCGCTTCGTTGCCAACTTTTATTTGCATACACCAGGCAAAAGGGCAAAATATTATATGAAGGGTGGAGGGTCCACTTCCGTTGCACTAACCGTAATCCGTAAAGTTTTGTGGGAGGAATCGAGCGGAGCCAACCGATTGGCTTGAATGTGCGCAAACAACTGAAAGTAACGATCGAACGGAAGAAACTTTTACGAGGTATAATCCGAACGTGCCCGATCGCACCGATCGTACCGATTCGAACCGAACGAGCCTCAGCGGTTCTCTGTGATAATAGGGATTGCTAGGATCCTGTGCACAGGGTCTGTGGATGGGATGGTTTGGTATCGTATCGGCCATGGCTACCTGATCGAGGTGGTCTCCCTCCCGCATGTTGCAATTGTTTTCGCTGGTAGTTTTCCTCAGCGGTTTCCTTTCTTTTTATTGCCAGGGGTCTTGTTGGTTTTATTCTAAGCATGTTTGCGGTGGCTTCGACTCGTTGAAATTCTTTATTATCTGGCCTTCGGGTTCCCTCCCTGTTTGTTTGCTTGGCTGCTTAATTTATGCAAAAGAAAATGTGTCCATTGTCTTAGTGGTGTGCAGTACGTGCGCATGCGCGGTAATCGCATATCAATAAGGAAATATCCGTTACGTGACTGATATCCAAAAACCTCAGTTTCTGGTTGTTGCCACAACTAGCTCCCGCATACACAGGTCTAAATCCTGATCCAGATGCCACGCACGTAAACTACCCAAAAATAGTTAAATGCATTTTCGTTGCACTTGCTGTGGCTATGGGAACAGAAATGAAAACGGTAGGTAAATGGGAGTGTTAGTTTAACAGTCCAACCTATCCACCAAGAACATGGCATAAGTAAGACGATTTCCGGTCAGTACAATACCCAACTCACCTGACGTCTTAATTTAGCTGGTGCCTCCTTAACCGCCATCATGTTTACCGAGGTCGGTATGCTCCGGATCAATCTCAAGGTAAAATCTATTTAACAATTTTCATGCAACTCAATCCGAATACATATCCATATCCATATCATCACCATAATTAAAACAAATTCGTTTTTTATTTCTCAACAAAAAGAGTTATGAAATATGCACTACCCAAAGACTTACGTCTCCCAACAAAATCTTGTCGATATACAAATATACGAAATACAATTAAAGATAATGATAATGCTAAGCTAATTAAGTCTTTTTCTTTAAGCCAAGGTCGCGCGCTTGGCTACAAACTCCCTGGAGGTCTTCTCCTTGTTGGTAAAGCGAACATACCTATCATGAGACATTTATAATAAGTGAAATAAATATAAGCAAATAAGGTAGGGCTACATACGTTTTATGATATTTTGCCACATCGGAGGCGCTGAGCGAGGGCCGTGTGGTTTGGAAGGACTCGACAAGGTGTTTCTGCTTCAACGAGATTTTCTTTGGTAGTTTCTGGGAAGGCAATAAAGAAATTGATGGAATTTTATTGGTCTTCAGCGACTTAGGACTAATGTTAATAAATAAATATATGTATGTTTCGTGATCCCTGTGGCCGGAAGTGGAATATATCCCAACATTGATTACAATGCCAAGCACGTAAAACCACTCTAAAATAGTTGAAAACATTTCGAATGCACTTGTTACATGAGAAAAAAGCGGAACATGTCAGAAAGGGGAATGACATAACTACCATGAACTTCTCATAACAAAGATCGTTTCCGGTTCAAATCCAACTTACCTCGTGTCCAAATTGAGCTAACGCCTCCTTAACAGCTGCCATGTTCGCCGAAGTCAGAATGCTCTGGATATCAGCGCCAGTGTAGTTCGAAGTCCTTCCGGCAAACCACTCGAAATCCACGCACTCATCGAGGCTGAGGGTTGAGCTGAGGGCCTCGAAGATTCGTACCCGGGCCGAGGCATCCGGAAGAGGACACTCCACCATGCGATCAATGCGACCGGATCGAAGGAGCGCGGGATCTAGCAGCTCCGGCCTGGAGGTCGCTGCTATGACGGTGACTCCCTGCAGACCCTCAACGCCATCCAATTCGGTGAGCAGTTGATTTACCACTCGATCCGTGACCCCCGTTGAGTCGTGACCACGCTTCGGCGCCAAGCTGTCGAACTCGTCGAAAAAAAGCACACAAGGTCGTGCACTGCGTGCTCGATTGAACAGGTTTCGAACATTCTCCTCGCTCTGACCAATGTATTTGGCCAACAGCTCAGGGCCCTTGACGGAAATGATGCGCAGGTTCCAGGATGTAGCCAACTGGGAGACCAAGTACGTCTTTCCTGTTCCTGGTGGTCCGTACAAGAGCACTCCGGCTTGATTGCGCAGGGGTGAAGCATTGAAAATGCTGGGATACTGTAAGGGGAATACACAGTTATTAACTACAACTTTTAGTTAATTGTAATAAGCTAAAAACTCACTCGTGATGGCCACATAAGGACCTCTTCTAGCACGCCCACAACTGACTCCAGGCCAGGCAGCTCCTCGACGCGAATTTCATTAGCTTCTCCATCGCTTCCAGTCTTTTGATTACTCTGGATTCCCTGCAGGCAGTAGGAGTTCGTGTGTTCCAAGGACTCTATAAGCTCATCATTCGTAAGAAGTGGCTGGGCCTTGCCTAGAAAAATTTAATAAATAAGAAACGTTAGTCCTGAATCCAATAAAAGATGGGTGCCGTAAGTCCACCAAATTGATCAATTTAAACCTTCTTAAAATTATTAAAAATTCGTTTTGTATGTAAATGAAAATTGTTACGAAATACTCACTTATGCGATAGGCATAAAATATTGCACGCTCCACGAACTGGACAAGATCGCACTTCCGATATCCCTCCGTGAGGTTGGAGAACTTCACAAGATCCAACTCCTTGGATGCATTGATATGGCTGCAAAGCTCTCGCAGAATTATCTCTCGATCTGCTCGTTCCAAACTGGGCAGACGAGCAACAGTCTGGAAGACATGTCGTCCTCTGGGTGAACTCAAACGCTTGTTGAGGCTCTGCAGCTCATTTACGGTGGCTATCACGGCAATAGCATTGTTGCTGGTGTACTGCACAATCAATTGATGCACAGTGTCCGCCATGCGGTTGTAGTACTCGCCATCCTGACTGGACTGCTCTCCAGCGGAATGGGCGAGCACATCTAAGTTTTCCAGCACCACGATGGCAGGTGCATGCTGCAGGCAGCTGGTGAAGATGTTGCGCAGATCCTTCTGTATGGACTCTGTCTTGCGCCCCTTGCTTCGTGATCCGTAAAAGAACTCAAAATAGCAATAATCTGGCTTGCCCGACAACTGGTCCAGGATTCGCTCAACCAGAACGGATTTGCCTGTTCCCGAGGCGCCAGTGAGTAAGACATTACATTGCCGCATTACGGAGTTTTCGGCATTTAGGCATAAATTCATGCGCAGCTCTTGGACTACCTGGTCAACAATCTTATCATACTCCGGCAGCTGTATGAGATCCTGGACACTCAGTGGCGAAGTCGGAGGCGTCTGCTCCTTTATAATCTCGCTTACCGGACGCACCAGATCTGCCGCATAGATTTTGGACTCCTTCAAGAACTGAGCGTCCACCGTGCAGTAACGAAAGTGTTCTGGTAAAATGCCGACAGTAACCAGCAGATCGTCCTCCAGCCGCACCACCTCCTCCTGGTTGAAGAGCATGGGCTTCTGCTGAGTTCTTTCTATCACAAACCGCTTAAATGCATTTTCCATGATCTTGTAGTGCGTCTTTTTGTTGGCAAATAGCTCAATTTTCTCCACAAAGTTTACCACGGTCGTTTTGGGCCTAAGCACAACTCGCTCCAGTTCCTTGATGCCCAGCAACTTCATTAGATTAGCATTCAGTTCGATCGAGGGATGAATGGTTCCAGGTATATCATCCTCTATATCCTCTTCCATTGTGCGCACCCTCACATAATAATCCTTGTCACCGGCAGTGTGCATGCAATAGAACAGATCCAGATCGAAGAACTCGGGTAGATGCTTCCGGTTGATAAAGACATCCGACTCCTGGGCCTGTTCCCGCCAAAGACCTCGAATCACTCGGAACTCGAAGCTGCGAGAGCTTTCCCTGCGCAAATCCTTTTTGAGACGCTCCATGTGATCCTGTCGCTTGTTGCGCTGCACCGTGTTCTTCACATTGGTCACAGTAGAGGAATGAGTCAAGGCCGTTGGCTTTTCGGCCAGTTCATCCTTGACTTGGGCAGTGGTTTTACTTCTAGAGAGTTTTGAGTTCTCCTCGACAGCACCATTAGAATGTCCATTGGTGAGTCCCTTGTAAAGGTTGGGAGCCACCACGAGTTCCGTGTTATGATCAATTCTGCCATAATTCATGTGCGGCTTCAGGCGATCTAGTATGGTGAAATGGAAATGAATATAATATATATTTATTTGATGGCCAATATTTACCCACTGTCAGCGCCACTTGCATGGACTTGTTAATCCAAACTATTAATATCTGGGTGGAGTTCACAATGCGGGTTTGCTCCAGCACACTGCCCGAGATCTTTTCGGTGCTTAGTTCCTGCGAAGCCAAAAATATTTCATTAAAAACGCTGCAAAAAGTTAGACCGAAAGATTTTCTATAACATTTCTCTTGGCAATCTTTTTAATAATATACCCTATACAAAATATGTTGGCGGCGTTCTTTGAAGATCTAAAATTATATTTAATGACTAAACTTTCGTCACTATATTACTAAGACAGCCAAAATAAACGGTCGTATTTTATTACGTTTCTTTAAACAAATAGCTTTAGCTTGAGTCTTTTTTACTAAACGGACACTTAAAAACCTCTAATTTAAGTTTATGCATATGATGGTAACACATTATTAAAGGAAATCTTTTGGTAGTAATAAGAATACACAGTAATTTATGATAAGTTAAGAATTGAGTACTTTTTAAAGGTTAACTTCTAGGCTCTTGGATCATATTGAAAGTAATAGAAGCTATGATAAGGAACGCATTGCAATGTAAACAAAAATCTAATTGGCGCCAAATTAATAAGTTAAGAGATTATTTAGCTCGAGTTGTTCTATAAGGGCTAGAAATCTTAATACATCTAATGAAAACAATTAGGTACATATTCCCCTTTAAGCGGAAATCTGATTAGCGTCTAATTAATTGGTTAATCCTATCAAATCAGCGGGTCAATGGCAATGCCGGCCAAGCAATGGCAGTATAAATAAAGACCAAGCGCACGCCCGCGCCAAATGCCAATCCGATATAAACGGACTTGTCTATTTTAAGCTGACCGCTGATCGCTGACCACGCCGCCAAGCAGCCGAAAACCGTCACTCACAATGATCTCCCAGTCCTTGGACGAGACGGGGGTAACGTGGACGCTCTTCAGGTTGAGAACGTCAGCGATGAGCGCACACTTGACCAGATCATTCTCGTGCAGACCTACGGCAAGAATGGATACATAAATGGATGAGTATGTGGTGATGAGTACGCGGTACGGGGCAGATGGCCGGATTCCAATATTACGGCACATTGGCAACCGATGCACATCCGGTCGTTAAGTAATGTCTAATGGCTTACCGATCTCCTTGGCCGCCCTGGCATTGATCCCAATCTCGGTGTCTTTGATGCCGCCACCGCCCGCCTGTGGCGCCCAGGAGGCGTAGTGCACCCGCCCATTGTACTGCAAACTGAGGCAGCCCGTGTCCTAATCGAAGAATGGTTAGCCGGATTAATCTTTCGCTTATCTAATCCGCATGGAGGCGGTTGGTTGTGGACCTTTGGACACTTACATAGGTCGAAACGACGCCGTAGTACTGGTCCGGCAGCACCAGAAAGTTGCTCCTGACTGGCCGATAAACCACCTTAAAAGTGCGTTTGAACATTCTCGACGTGGGCGTGTGCGAATTTGATGTGCTCCCGGTTTAAATCATTTTTGCACTAAACGAACGGCTGCTCTCTGCAGAATTTACTTTTTGCTTTATTAGGGATGGGAAAGTTCGCGACAGCTGAGCCGATATTTGCAACAGGTGAAACAGCTGGTTAGTGATGGACCTTTTTACAGCCGTTCCCACTGGACGCAGTTGCTGCTGCAGGCGTTGAAAACGAACCGTTTCGATAACAAGTTGGTCAGGTTCAGTGAATTTTTAATATTTAATTGGTTTATTTCTACTAAAGTTCAATATTAGTCCCCGTATTCCCTAGCCAAGTTTAAACCCTTGTAGATATACCAAAGACATTCACATCCTAGGACCTGAAACGTTTACCAAAACTATACATGTTCTATAAAACAATCGAATAATTTTCAAAAAAAAACTTTAAATTTAATTTAAGGATGGCTTTTTCTTCCCATATTTAGGGTGAAAACTATGGCGTTCTTTTTTTTAGGATCTATGTATTGGATTTCTGGTTACGAATAGTACAATACGACAAGGGCCACAATACCGAAAAACCCTTTACTATGCGAATGTAATTCCACTCTTTTAAATCACTATCCGAAATTCAAATAAGTAAAACACCATTTCTTGTTTTGGCTAGTTTATTGGGTTAATAATAATTTATTTAAAATAGTTCGAGTGTTCAATATAGTCGTGTAAATGTGTGTACAAAAAATCTTGCATTTTATATTTTATATATCGTTTCCCTTCTCTTTCGTTCGTCGTATACCATGCTGGCGTCTTATTAAAATAAATAACACAATATTTAAGAACTAACAATGCAGAGCGTGCTAATCGTGTAAGTTTGCATTAAAACGCCCTCGTCTTAGTTTGCGCTATTTCCTTCTTTTGGCAAATTAAAGAGAACAAGATATTGAAAGGATATGCATAAGGATGCCGATGGCACTTGTAATATGTAAATACAATAAAACTGTGCTTACAGTTCAACTAAATTCGTTATTGCATTTTTTAAATGTATATCTAAGTATATATCGAGAGAAGACACTATCCGAAAGAGATTACAAAAGCTTTTCAATAATTATATTTGCGTGTTTTTTGTTATTTCTTTGCTGCTTTATAGTTAACTGCTTCATATCAGTCTTCGTCAATTTGTTTGTGGCTCGTGAGAATAAATTGGCTTATAAATGGAATATCTGTTAATATAGTTGTATATATCCTTTGTATAAAAGTTCTAATAAAATTTTATAAAATGTGTAGCTTTTTAAGTGTAAAACATTCTAAAAATGATTCTTCTGGCTAGCAATATTTTGGCGCTTCGTTTGGACTTTCGTAGCTGGCTGTGTGCGGAGTGGAAAAATACAAATAAAATTAAAGATAATTTAAATAGGAAAATATACAAAAGTTTAATGCATCATCTCTCTTCTCGTACAATTCATTGCTTATATGACTTACTAAAAAGATACAATTAATTAAAGTGCGGAGTTTGGTTCTCCATATTCATGCGGTTTTGCCATCTCGGATGGATGCAGCAAGCTATTCCAAATTTGGTTATAACTTAAGCGTAAGAAAATAAAATTAAATAGAACATATATAGTTATATATATATGCATGTATATATATGTACACAGATTAAAATTTAAATCATTATTTAACAATAAAAGATTTGATAAATACACCATTCGATTTTTCAAGTTCAACTTAAGCTCTAAGCAACCAAATTAAAATGCGTTTTTAAAAACAAAATTTTGGCGATAAAAAATGTCTCTCAAAATTTAAGGCGAGATTCACAGAAGAGATGGATCTTGTGCTTGCGGTTGTCGGTGCTAAAAGTTCCATTGGGTATTGGGATTTCGAGATACGGTGGGCCGTATCCTACTGGACTTATAGTTAAATTGGAAAATATTCGAAAGTAAAAGGTTTTGTATGGAAGGGAATGTGAGTTTGTGTTTTGTGTACGAGTGTGTCGAAAACAATTTAATCGCCCAATCACATATTGCAGTATCTGTAAGTTCTCATTTCCGTTTTTCTTTCTGTTTTTTGTTTCAGTGTGAATTTTGATTTTCGATTCGTTGCCATTGCCCCGTCGTCGTCGTCGTCGTCGTCTTTGCGTCGATCTTGATTTCCTGCCTAGCAATCCATTTCCTCCAGGGTGCGCGACAGACGGTTATTGTCGATCCTCCGGCGCTGCGACCGCCGCACTGCATCTGCCCGCCGGTACGGCTCGCTCTTCAGCCCCAGCAAGATGTCCTCCAGGGCTCCGTTGTACACCTCATCCTGCTGCAGCAGCTTCTTCTCGCGCACCGAGTGCGCCTTGCTCTTCAGCTCGTTTATGACCGCTTCCTGCAAGGATAACGCGCCGTTTGAGGGCAACTGTTTGCATTTTGGGTTTTTGGGAGCAGAGCATGGTCAAACCGGAAGGGGATTAGAAGAAAAAGAAACAGGTTAGCATTAGACACGGTAAACCAACACCAAGGAACACAATCTTATAATTTAAAGTGCAGTAGAATAATTTTGGATGGGGGGTTTTAAAACAATTTAAAGATTATATAATATACAAATACTTTTTTTTTAATGGTTGGATCGAACTTTGAATTGTCAATAAACTTATATATAGTCTTGCTTTAATTTGTTTAACTTTCTCGGAAATTTATAAGTTTATTTATTTATTTGTGTTATTGTTTATAAAACTTAGACCGTTCAATATGTTTTAGCTTATATATTCGCTAACTATTTCCGGAATACATTTTGAATGTATTATATAAGTAATTTAAATGCTTAAAGCGTTTAATATGTCTTTTGAAAAGGTTTAAAAGCATTTTAAGTATAAGGTACAAAAAATATAAATAACATCAAAACATTTGGATGCGTGCAAGTTCTGGCACGAATCCAAAATGTGGAAAGCCACACATGTGAGACCACAGTCAAAGTGGATTGGATTTATCAAGGGAATTAGCGGGGATTAGGCAACACAATAGGGGAGGATTAGTTTGAACAAACAGTGTTAAGAGACAAGTAGAGACAAGCCAGGCGACTTACGCTAATGTGGGAACTTTACACAAAACAAATCCCGTCACATGCCGCCCACAAAGGGCAACAACTAGGTGGTAGAGGATGGTGGTTCGATTTTTTTTTTGGTTTTTGTGATGGATTTAACGGGGATTTGGGGCACAGGCTGAGACCAAGTCCCCCTCGAGTTCCTATCCCCAGTTGAGTATTAGACAGAGGTGTGTTGTGATTTGTGTGAGTCAACCAAATAACCAAGTTAACGTGCTTAGACTGAGGAAGTTGCCGGTGGGTGGATGTTACGATTGGGCAAGCTGCTTCTGTTGCTGATTGGCAAAGTCGAGCAGGCAATGTATTGGCTGCATAAATCAAATCAAATGAGATCAGAAGAAATCATAACAGGTTATCAGGTGCAATGAGAGATTAGATTAGATATGGAACCGATTCGAGGGACTTGGGCCACCCTGAGTTGTAGGGACTAATGGCTTTCGCTTCGTGGTCGATGTCCGTCACTCACCTGTTGCTTCTTCTGGTTAACCTTGTTGCGCATAAGCACCTGGTCGCTCTCCTTTTTGGATGCGGCCAACGCAGCGGCCTTCTCCAGTCGCAGACGCTGCTCGTTCTCCTGGTCGAGTTGCTAGAATTAACAAAGTTAACGCATAAGTAGGAGGTTGTTAAATATCTCTTCATATATACCCACCTTAAACGCTCTTGTAAAGCGTACGATAAGCGCGAAGAAGGCAGCCGCATCGGCATTCCGCGAAGAGTCACCAAAGTACTCCACGCACTCCTTGAAGGCTTCCTGTGCATGCCGCAGGTCGCTCTTGATCTTCTTCAACTTGTCCTCGCTGTTATTGAGGAAGTCCCGCAGTATGTGCGTCTGGGCACCCTTCACCCGCAGCTCCGCTTCCTTGCGCACCAGATCCATGCCCTTCTCCAGCTCCTGAACATCGGCCACCACATTTTCCAGTGCCACCGACGCAGCCTTGTCTGTGCCATACAGCTCACTCTCAAAGTTCAGCAATTCCGGGAACTTGGCCCGAATGGTGGCCACAATGTAGTGAAGCAGGGATGATCGCTTATCGGTGGATTTCGTATCGATCAGCGTGTCCAGCGATTGCAGTTTGAAGCCATAGGCTGGTCCCCGCTTATTGCTGTTGAGATAGTTACCAAAAGCTAGGACGATTTCCAAAACCGCCTTGAATTTCCGCGATTGTTTTAGGGAAGTCGAAGCTCCAGCTATCGATAGCACTTGCTGAAATGGATAAAACAAAATTAGCAATCTGTTTAAAAAACAATATTAATACTATTTCATGTCTCTGAGAAGTGCCTGCTGATAAAACTGCAATTTTATTGACTTTTATATTGGCACATTATACGTTTTTCCATATTGTGGAAAAAAATAATAAACAAACAGATTAGAGAGACAGCTGACAGCTGACTAAGCAAATGGGCCTTAGAAATCTGATGTTTATCCTAGTTTTAGATTTCACATCTAGGGCTCTCAATATATTTTCTTCGTAATAAACCCATATATCTAATTGCTCACCGGGCTAATGAGATGAACGCTATCGACAAAATTGCCCATGTAGTTCATGATGGCCAGCTTGGATGAGATGCGCTCCACCCGCGACAACTGCAGCATAAACTTGTCCTCTTCAGTGAGCAGCTGCTGGTCCTTGCGCTCGATGATGTACTCTTTGTAGGACTTGATCTCGGCATCCGTGGGCACCATCTTCTGCAGCAGCTCGACGTTCTCCAAGGATAGTTTCTTCAGGTCCAGACTATGGATGGCAGCGATGACATCGTCAATGGGCATACCCAGCTTGCGACGGGAGATTGCTAAGGGTAACAAAGGAATTTCAGTTGACTCAGATATTATTACAGATGTATATCAATTACTCACCAATGTTTCTTAACCTCGTGTGCTCCAGTAGTGAGACATTGTCGGGCCTCTTGAAGCGTTTGCTGGACTGCAGCGACCCATCGACCTCGGTTCCACTGCTGCCATTGCGCAAGGCGCCGCCAATGCCGATCTTGAATCGCTCCTCGAACTCGTTGAAGTCGATTTGCTTGAAGATCTTTTCGTCA